CCCAGGCCATAGATGCCATTTTGCTGGAATTCATAAATCTCTCTTGGCTTGCATGTTACAGGTTGCTTGCTTGGGAAGCTTCATTTAACTGAGATGCCATGTATCTATGCATCTTTGTTTTAACCTTCTGTATCTACCATCCTCTTGGATTCCTATTTTCTATTCAGCAGACTTTTAATTTCACTCTTCTCATTAGGAATGGGGCATGAGGCAGCTACCAGCAGAGGAATCTCTAGCTGCTTGTTTCCAGAACAAGTTTGTGAGAAGGCCCTTCCTAACTGCAGATTCTTCAGAGCTTGTGCAAACTGAAAACTGATACTTTCAGAACCAATTTTCAGAGTCTAAGTTTGGTGGAAGGCATATTTAAAGGAATTTCTTCTTTCACTCTAGCACAGTACAGTTTTAGGATGAAAACTGTTTTAATCTGCAGCCAGGCTGATGTTTCAATGATGCAGGATCATGCAGGGGTGCTTCAATTCCTGTGATACAACATCACTTGAATTCTGGTTTATGGAGAACAGCTTCACAGTCTGTGTTTTGTTTTAAATCTGTAGTGTGTATGCTATATATAAAAAATAGATAGAATTGTATCTTCTTTCTGTAAGGAATGGTTGAAACTGAGCACCTTGGTGATTTTTATTCTACTTACAAGGTGGTTATTATCTTCTGACTCAAGTGTCTCTTGGTGGACAGGCTCACCAAAAAATAGAGGCATCTTCACTGCTCATCTCTTTCCTGGAAGAGAGATGTATGTGTCTATTCTGATACCAAATGAAGGCCACTTTCAGTATATTTAATAAATAACTCCTTCACTCAGAAGCTCAGAGGGTGCCTCAGCGCTTCCTGCACAAGCAGTGCCTTACACAGCAGCAGCCACATCAAAAGCCCTTTGGGTTTTCTTGGTTCAACACTTCAGCTTCCAACAGGGAGATCAAAGCTTCTGCATAATCCGTGCCCCAGGCAGCAGCCTTTAGATCAAAAGGCCCTCCAGTCACTGCACAAGCAGTATTGCTGGCACTGAAGACACCTGTACCAGTGACATCTACTTCTTGGTGCTTTAGTGGTCATTACTCCTAATGGCTGGAATTATACTGCTTGCCACTGGACAAGTGCCTGCTGGTATTCCCAGGGGCTGAGGAATCCCATTTTAGTCCTTTACCAGGACTTTTTTAGTACTGCACTTGAAGTAAAAACAATATTTTGTTAATGTGAGAACAAGGGGAGGATCTGTACCAGGTATCCATCACATAATCACCTCTCGGAATTTTATCTGTGAGGGGGAAGGAAATTGCTCTTTACTTTGTATCTTTCTTTTTGAGGATGGATGATTGAGTTTAGAGTATAAATCAAGGTTGTTAGACATCTGGTGATCAAAGAATGGCATTAACTAACACTAATCCCACGTTAAAGAATATCTTAAATGTCTGATGACCTCTGCTGATGTGGCTTTTAGCAGATGCTTTGCTTGTACCAGGCCTTCTGTGGTGCCCTTGCCCCCCTCCATCCCCCTGCCTCTCTTCTTTAAACAAGCTATTACACTGCTCGTGAAGAAACAGAAAATCTGTTCTAAGATGGAAGCATGTGAATAAACAGCTTTCTCCTTTCTGCTTCCGTCTGTGGTTGGAACTCTGGAATTTCAATTCTCTCTGAAAGTGTCCATGTGAAATAAAAATCCCTTAAATCTTTTAAGAAGGATCTCAAATAGGTATTACATTCTTTTTAAGAAGACCAAGTACATGTACTTACAAGTGCATGTAAGCAGGATTTTTGTTTTATACTGTCTTCTAACAAATCTCTAACCTCTTTTCCCCAGTATTCTGCCATTTGAAGCAGTCGTATGCATGTACCGATTTTTGGGAGCAGACAAGTGTATGTATCCTTTCATCGCTCAACGGAAACAGGCTACAAACAACAATGAAGCAAAAAATGGAATTTAACAGTTTTGGATGGACTAACATTTATAGGTGAATGCAATAATGTTACTGAATTGCAAAGTGCACTTGCATCTAACAGATGCAAATGTCAACATCTTACTGTGGCATTCTCTTGGGTCCTAAACCTGTGTATTGAACTCTAAAAATCAATGGATTTTTATATACTGTAAATAAAACTGACTAGAGTACTTGGGAAATGTGATAGGTAACTCAAATGAATTTACAATGTAGCTGCCACCACTGTCCTTTAGAATATCACTGTATGTACAGTAAACTAGTCATGCTACTTGTTGTAGGGATGCACTGTGTGATCTCTCTTCCTTAGTCTGCCAAGGCTTCTAAGAGCTGTATCCAACCAGAAGATGCAATGTTTCAGAAATGGTTTGATTTCCTTATGTTATTTAGGAAGGGAGAGAAATCTTGCAATTTTAAGCTACTGCTTGTGATCTTATAGCAAATTCAAGGACAGTTTCTGAGTGCATCTCTTCACTTGTTCACCCAAGTTCTCTAAAGGACACATGGCCAAATTGTGGTGTAATTCTCTTTTGTTGCAATTGTGTGTGTTCTATTTAAACAAAGATGAAAATAAATTTGTAAATCTCTGCCAATTCAAAGGCAAATGAATGTCTTACATACTGTCAGAGCAAACTTGTACTGGGCATCTGGTTTTTTAGGAATGCAGTCAGTGATTTAATTTCACTTTTTTTCCAAGTTGACTTAATTTGAAAAATGCTCTGTTCTGTTTCCCTCTCCGTCAGAGTCCAATTTACTGTTATGGACTACATGTTGCATTTCTTCTTCCTCATTCTTCTGACAGAGTTTTCCCACCCCCCCAAGGAAACTGTTATGTTAAATTCTCTAACTGGACTTGTGCCTAAAAGACAAAGCAACTCAGCTGAGATACAAACTGTTTATGTAAGTGCTGGTCATATGCCAATTATTAGCAAAGGAAAAATAGAATAATGCCTGATGCAACTCTACATTAAGAATATGAAAGGGTGTAAAGATTTTTTTGAGTTGTACTCACATAGAACAGCAGATGACTTTTACAGTATTTTTTGTAAAGCAAACAATTTTGTGCCTTGAATTTGGTAATCTGTATTAGTGAAGCATTGTAAAAGTGAGATTCTACCTCTGTATCTTAATGTATACCATCCACTTGTAAACTACTATCAGAAAAATTGTGATTACTTTTTTAGAATGTCTTGTTAAATAGTGACCAATGCCTGTGGTTATTAAAGTGAGCCACCTTTTCCTTAAAACGGTGATTGGAATGTTTCCTTTAAAGACTGAACTAACACAAGCGGCTTGTTCCACGACTCTTTGGTGTCAACACAGATCAAATATTAATGGCTCAAGTCCTGTATCCACTTTGTCAGCTACATGGTTTACAGTGTAATCTCTGAAGGCTGTCAGTAGGTACTGTGAAATTGGACTTCAGGAGCTGACAGTTTTGTCTTCTAGACTCACTGATGGAGTAGCTCGTCAAAGAGGTTATGAAGAATATTAATTTTGGTGTTCTATAGGGCTGCATTCAGGTCATTGAAAAAATGATCTGGTATGGATGCAGTTTCAGTGAGTTAAAAATTAAGTGCACTTTCAGTACAGCTGTAGTTATTACTGCATATACATAGCATACATATAAAATAAAAAATTGGTATCTGTGTCAAGAACAGTGTTGTTAACTAACTCTGTTTAGAAACTAATTGAAAGTAGAAGAAAATATTTACATTAACCCTTACTCCAAATTCCATGCTCTTTTGAAAAAGCTGTTAGACGATTTCCCCAGGGCCAAATTACCTCCCATGTTCTTACAGCAGTCACTAAAAGCAAGTACAACCAATTTAATTCTATTGCATAGTGCTATTGTATTGCACTTTTGTTTTCTAAGATGTCTCAATCATTGCTGCTGTGTCAGACTAAGAAGCAACTTTTTAAGTTTGATATATTGGTACTTGACACTTGTTAGCCTGACAGAAAAGGAAAAATAAGAAGCTGACCAGCAATACCAAGGTCTTCTATAAATCATTCTGCCAATTTACAATGCTTACTTAAAAAGCAAGTTTCAAGGCTTGCTTGTGATGATCCTGGTTTCTCTAAATTTACTGCCTTTTCTCTCAGTTCTTAAGCTGTGTGGTGGGGGGGTGGCTTGTGGCTGTTGCACTCTCTAAGCATGTTTCTAAAATTCATTCCCTTAACTTTTCATCTTCTTTTCAAAAGTCACTGCCACACAGGGAAAGGGACTATTAGATCTACAGCTACCTTGTGGGTCTAATGAGACTTGTATGGGGGGAGGATCTTTGAGGGTGTATAGTGCTTGTGTTGCAGAGTGGGAGACTGAGCCTAAATTCAGTTCAAGCCTCCAAAAGAAATCAGTTTGTTAGTTTTTCTGATACACATGAGCTCTTTTGGAAACAATCCCAAAATTCCTGTCATCTCTAGTCACACCTTAGCAAGAACAAATCATGTAAAGAGGTCAATCTCACTTCTCCAAGAAGGTTTTCTGATGACTGGATGACTTCCCAGTTGCATGGGTGATTCCTATGAAGTAGGAAGAGATTTGTGACAGGATGGAATGGGAACTGGGGTATCCCTTGTTCATATTGCCCTAAACTGCTGCAAATACCACATGATGGTGAGTTTCCTTTAACACTACAGTCAGAAACTATGAGAATTGTGTCTCTTCAGGGCTGTGACTGATAGACTGTGATAATTCATGTAAAGCCAGCCTAGTTTAAGTAGCTCAGGTTAAAGTTCTAATTTAATATTTTAGACTAGTAGCTTAATGTAGGAACATTTTCCTTCATTCTCTAGGAAAATGCCATGAAAGTTTACTGTTAAACCCAGATGAGCTGATGTGCTCAAGGGTGCACCTCTTGGTGTTTTTTGTCTTGCTGTAACAACCTGATGGGATATGCAGTTGACAACAGTTTTCTTAGAAAGCTCCTGTCTTACTAGTGCTAAGTTTATAGTCACACAAACAATGTGTTTGAAGATCATTCTATAGCACTCTACTTCCCAGTGAGCAGGACTCACTCATTTGCATCGCTGGTTCATCTATAGGAGGCTTCTAGGGTTTCTCCTCTATTTCCTAGTCTTTAAAAAGAATCTGGGGTTACCAAGTCTCTAAACTTGGCGTACTCAGTCATTGGAATGAGATAAGTTTAGGCTTCAAGTGTCCTTGCTTGGTATTAGTAGTTTCCTGTATCACGTGCTTGTAAGTTATTTTATGTATTAATGTAGTTGCAGCTTGGAGCACCTAAGCTGGATGCTTATTGTAGTATAAATTGTTCTTCCACCCTGTTAGGCCTGTCTGTGTATGTTGAGTTGGTAAAACATGATAAATGTATATTTACCTTACATCATAAGGGCTTGTTCAGAAGACCAAAGTGAGGTGAGCTAATCAGGAACAATACCCTTCATAATGAATAAATAATCCAGCAGCAACCATTATTCTTAATGTTCCAACACAGTCATAATCTGCCCTAACTTTTGTGAATAGACAAACCCTTATGAGTCTTGTATTCAGGAGCAACTTGGGAAAATGCAGAGAGATCAGAGCTGTGTAGTGAATGCACATAAAGGAGTAAGTTATGGGCCACTATGGTTCTGAAAGTGTGCACCCACTCAAGAATTTACACATAAAATCATTAACTTAACCTCTGAATTTGATTCCTAATTTTTCTTGTGTCTCTGGGTAGCTAAGACCTCTGATCAACAAAAGGAGATAATCGTAATGCAAATGGTAATTAGGTAAGTATTTAACCTCAGGAGTTTGTTTCTGTCTGTTAAAACCCAGGTTTTCCAAGTACAGAAGCTTTGGGGCTCTGCTCAGTTTTCCATTGCAGCTAAATTCACAAATAGGAAATAAAACTATTGCAGAGATGAGGTCTTCTAACAGTCCCTGAAACAGCAGATCAGGCAGAATGGTTGATGAAGGCACTGATTTAAGTGTTACTTTGTTCTGAAGCTCCTATGCCTAAATTCCAGGTGTTTAGCCAAACATCTTGCAAAAAAAGGCTGGGGAGTCTCGGGACAATACCCAACAAATTTTAAAATGTAATTACAGATGTAATTACATTTATGTATCCACCCTAGCCCCATCGTATTCTAATTAGCCCGCCGTGTTTTTTCCTCTGACCATTAAAAGCTGATGTATCTAGTGACAGAAAGTGTGGCTTTATAATGGCTTCAGTGAAATGAAGAAATTCATAGTAACTTTATTTAAACATAGCTTAAGTAGACAACCCAAATATTTAAAGTAACTTTAGAAATAACATTCCAGCTTACATACTTATCTTTCTGCTTAGTGCTGACAATACACAAACAATTAATTTCTTCCACAAAATTTTAAAACAAGGTTTTGAGCTAAATGATAAATGTTCAGAAGTCAGGATCGAGTGTTTGTTGCCTAAGTTAAATGAGCAGGATGTTTGGTTCTTTCTTCCTAACTAGGGCAAATGTAGCGCTTAGCTAAGGAGCCACAATGTATTTGGAAAAAAAAGTAAACCTTTAAATTCATCCCTGTCTACAAGCTGACCAAAACTGCCTTTAAAATGTTATCTGTTCTGATTGAAAACATTTTGGCAAACAATGTTCCTGGGCCAGTGCCTATGGCACTGGGATGACTGGAGCTTTTCTCTCCTGATCCAGTTATCAATGAGAGCTGCTGTGGCAGTAGGATATGGGGAATAGCTAATGCTGAAGCGTTTGGAAAGCTAGTAGCTGTATCCAGGAACAGGTTCTTAGTGGGAGAGGAAGAATGGGGTGCTAAGATGGCTCTAGGGATCTCCCCTTTGTACCCACTCTAGCAGCTCCTGTTGCAGGGTGTGTGCATGCTCAGTGTCTGCTCCTACTGACATCCAGCCCTCCCTTCCCGTCCCAGCTGCAGGCAGCCACAGTCCTGAGCTCATCCACCAGGGCTCTTCTACACACAGCCCTGCACAAGAGCTATTCTGAAATAGCCGCACTTAAGTGTGTGTGTGTGCTTACCTTCATGTCTTGCAATATGCATAAACTGTTTCAGCCCAACTTAAACAAGAACAATACTCTGGAGTAAGAAGTTCTGCACTCTGGGACTTGGGACTAGCCAGTGCCTTTGGAATGTCTGTCATATTCCCATTTCCATCAACCATCACATCTAAACAAGCCCTTAGAAGATAATCACAAACTTTCATTTGGATGCAACCACTTAAGCTACAGATAAGCAAAGTTAGCTTAAACTTGTTCTATTTTCATAACAGGCAAGTGCATTTGGATCCATGTTTAGAACAAATGTTACTCAATACAAGTTAGGTCTCTACATAGATCAGTAGTTAATGGGAGTAAATGAAAACATCCCACGCTGATTAAGGATGTTCAGTTTTCCTGCTGTGCTGAGAGCAGGAATATTGACCTCTGCAGCTGTTTAAAAAGAGAGCTTCTGCCTAGTTAAACCTTCAGCATGTAAGGTAAGGAGTTATATATCAGTAATAGGATTGGAGCAGAGGGTGGACTTAAGGTCTCCCAAATGTCTCCAAATCTAGCTGGTCTCAGTGCTCTTCATTTTATTGGTGTCTCCAGAGGTCTCATGCCCATTTCTTGTCTTGTGGCCCCTATTAATTCACTATGGTAGCAGCAGTACATGGAGATACAGCTCCAAGGGCCCATTGTCTCCTCGAGGCCTCTGCTTTCCCAGGGCTTTCCTGTGAACTGCAGTGCTTGAAATGCTGAGGGTTGCCAGCTTCTTGTCCAGTAAGTCCTCACTGTGGTGGGAAATAAGCATGAGGCAGATGGCACCAAGGCCTCCATTGGAGACATCATAAACTAGATCAATCCAGCAAAAGTATTGACATGTGGATTTCTTCATCTCTTGTTTATACAGTCCAACCTGATAAAAAATGCCAGCTTTGCTCTGCTTTCAGTGACTCTAAACAAAGATCATTTAAACAATTGTCCTCTGTATTTTATTTACAGAAGCAATCACTCGTTTGGTTCTTTAAAAATTTTGACATTTAAAACTAACATGTGACTCACACGTCATCTTTGCAAAAATAAGGCACTCCATTAGTCCAATGACTAACCTGAGAATTTTGGAGGAATACTAGAGTCATTCTGAAAATCCAGGTTGTTCAAGCAGTCATTCAGTGAGATCTCTTTCAGATCTTTATTTTGTGTAGCTAACTAGAAAAAAATGAAGGAATTAGAAGACGTGTAATTGTTCTTACTAGATGGGATAACAAATTAAGTAACAACAGGCCTATGAAGAGTTTATAAGCTTTGGG